AAAATCCTTGATATTGTGGCATCTTTGTTTCTCCCTTTAATGTTAGCACCCGTCTATCTTATCGAACATGAAATGATAGCATACACGTGGTTTCTTTTCTTTCTTAGCAAAATCTAAACTTGTATTGATCATATATAAGTAAATGGTATTAATTTAAAAAACGATTTAGTTATCATGTCATGTGAAGTTGTAATTTTATAATTTTAATGTGTTATCATATAATTAATTCTTTTCATTCAAGAATTTGTTACCTATAATATTTTATAAATTTACTCAATTAATGGCACATCAAAATTATAAATTTATAAATTTATATAATATTTTAATTATATCATTATTGTATTAAACTTCCGTAAAAGTTTAATTTTGACTATGAGTAAATTATACTTAATATTAAATAAAAAAGGCAAACATTTTATTCTAACATTAACAATTAATGGATTAAAGGAAGTAAATATTCTGCAAAAAAAATGTGCGAAATTAGCGACTTTGTCGTTCTTTAAATGAAGGCACATGGATGCATGTGAAAATAAGGGTCAATTGGGCTGGGAAAAGTACAAATGAAATGTGAAAGTTAAAGAGGGAGAACCCACAAAAGAAGAACAAAATTTTTGTGGTCCTTCTATAATTGTGACCAAGTATTGATAGGGATGCCACATGTCCCAATCCCTAACAAAATCGGATAAATTTGGTTGTCATGTTATAAAGCACACGTGTTAGCTCTTAAATGGGAACTAACATTTGAGATTTCCATGAGTTATATCGTATCAATATTTGCCCCCTCCACATTTGGTGGGTTTCATCCCTTCAAAGCCTTTGCTTTTAATACCATCCCTAATTTTGAAGACACATCTTCATATTAATTTATAGGCCAACGTAGATAGAAATTCGTTTTTCACGATCCATATTAGGCGACAAATGTCACTTGTAAAACATTAGCTGTTGAGTGTTCGAACCATTCAGTCACCTATGTTTTCCTTTGCCTTGCTCCTAAAAATGTAAATGAATTGCTAAATTGAATCCCATCTTCGATAGAAAAGGGTTTGGTAAAGGAGAGGGGACTTGGCGTTTGTAACTCATGCATAAAAGCTACATTCTAGCTGTTTCAAAACTTGGACCAAAACTAATTAAATCCTAGCTATCAAAACTTAGACCAGTCTTCATTCAAATCCACAGGAGAAAAAGGAAAAAGGGTTTCTTTGGGGTTTCAAAAAAATTGAAAAAAAATTAAGAAAAGCAAGTCTTCTCTCTCTCTCTCTCTCTCTCTCTCTCCACAATTCTTAAATGTTCATGTGAAGGAGTTCTTTAGGTATCACTGCAGTTGACGGGCACATGCAAGGCATTTGTGGGGTGTGGGACACCGAGGTCGGTGGCTCTAGCAAAGTGTAGGGCCATGGCCATCAAGGGCACATGTTTTTGAGGCTCTTCTTCCCCATTCACTAACACCCCTTTTGGCCCTTAGTTCAAACTTTTCACCCCATTTCATATCTCACAAAAATCTCCATTTCTCTCTCCCTCACGTTACCATTAGCTTTTGTCCATTACATGAATATAAAGCCAAGTTACATGTGACCATAAAACACACCATTGTATTATTGTTTCACCAAAACTTGTCCTTTAGCCGACAAAAATATTCATCTTTCTGTAATTGAAGGATTAAAATTAATCCAACTTACTTATCCTCTTAACTCGAACTTGTTTGTTATGTCAGAGTTTGGACTTGTACGACAGACATGAATATGATAACCCTTGGTCAAATCCCAAAACCGGACATTAGACTAGAATACATTGATGTTAAGTTTCAAGTAATGAACAAAAATATTTTATAGTTTATTTAGTAAAACAATAATTTTTAAAATAAAAGAAAAATTAAATACAAAAAATAAAGAAAATTAGAGAAAGATTTATAAGTAAAATAAATCACACAAATAATAATAATAACAATAATAAAAGCATAAAAAAATAAAAGAGAAGGAAGAGAATATCAAGCCGTGATTTATAGTGGCTCCTCCAACCCGGAGTATGTCCACTCCCCAAGCCTCCTTGCTCGAGAGTTCAATCCACTAGAAATCTCTTACTTACGGTTGCGAGATTAAACCGGAACAAACTCTTGCTTGCGGGTGCAAGATTAAACCCTCACAAGTGAATCTCAACTCACTCAACCCCTTCAAGGATTATCCCAATCCAAGAAGAATACAAAACCCTTGTAAGACAATTAACCCAAAAGCTCACAAGAATAGAAGAAGAAGGAGATCCAGAACACTTTCAAAAACAAACCCTGTTTTCTGTATTGCTAGAGCAGTTCGTCCTTCTTCATTCCCAGATCTGATTTTTGATATCCTTTTAATAGTTGGTTAGGAGCCTTGCAATTAAAGCCCTTTTAGCCTTTCAAAGCCACCTCACAATTGCCCCAATTAGGTTCCACCTTATTCTTCTGACTTGTCTTGGAAAGTGCTAAGACATTTAGATACCCTATGACCCATTAAGAATAAACAGATAGTTGAACTGTCAAAATTTAACCTTCTAGAATTTTTGCTTCGAAGCCAGAAATATTACTTCGAACCATTTTCGGAAAACAAAAATTCGAGATTGATTTGAACCAAAATAAATTAGTTCGAACCCAGAACTTTGAATAAAAAGGAACATAAATTAATTCTAATCGTGGGGAAAGATTAGAATCCTTGAATTAATTTTCCTGCACACTTAGCACAAAAATAGATTAAACTCTTTTGAATCATAGTTTTAAATTATCATCAAAATACAAAGAAAACCTAACAATTTCACTATTTGGAATTTATGGTAACTAGTTTGAAAAATAAACTTATAAGTTTAAGGATTAAAAATGTATGTATGTTATAAGTTTAGGAATTAAAAATGTTCATATTTTTATAAACTTAGTAGACTAATTGACTGAATAACAAAAAAATGTGTATTTTTTAAAGTTGAAGACAAAAAAGTGCAAAAAAGTTGAGGGACGAAATTTTTTCAAAGTTTAAAGTTAAGGGACTATACTTAGCATTTAACCAAATAAGAAGGCTTGCGCTTTTGATGTTTTTGTCCTTTTAAAAAAAAAAACAGCAAAATTATTTGGGGCTTTAGCACGAACTGAACGTTTCAATAATGGACATAGTGTTTAGGAAAATGCATTCAAATTTCCAAGGACCTTCAATTTTCTCAACTTTATTTTGGGTAAAAAGAAACCACCTTCAATTTTCCTTTAGAAAATTTTTTTGTTTGGAAAAACAAAAAAAATAACTAGTGGAGAAGACATTTTTAAAGACTTTTAAGTCTCTAATGGATAAAGAAACTTAAAAATGATTAAAAGATGATATAAAACAAAGTATTTGTGTGAAAAAATTAATAAAATTAAAACTTAAACGACTTAGCTAAATTATTCACTAAAGGCTAGTCTTGCCATAACGTGGCTTCAATTCAAGGGCCTCTAATTGCGAAAATATTTAAAGGTTGTGCAAAATAATGGGTTAATCTTGGTTAATAAATCAACGCATTTCAAAGAACTCAACTAAATTCACCTAATTATGATTGATTTATTAGCAAAAACAGATCAATATAAGATTCAAACTATGAAACTTTTTTGAAATAGAGTTTTTACCCTTAAAATTTTGAATTTAATATGTTTTTATCCATTTTTAACTTTAACTATAACTATTTAAATAAATGTATTCTTCAATGCTTCTACAAATGAATCGTAGTGAAACTGCACTTCAATTGTTAGAGAAGTGCAAATGAGTCTATTAATTTCCTTATACCATTTATCAAAATAAATGTTTGCTTGCCCTGAATTTTATAACACATTTATTGTTGTAAAAAATGAGATAAGTAAAATCTTTAAAATATTTCTAATTTTTCTAGAAAACACATATCTACTTTTAGAAGGTCAAAAGCTAAAGTTGCTTATGAGCATGGCTGTTAAAATTGAGTTTTAAATCATAGAATTATACGATTTGATGATTTTAAGTATATATTTCGAGTGAAATATATGTTAAAATCAAAATTTCATAGAATTGAAAGGTAAAATCATAAAATCACAATTTTATGATAAAATCATTTGAAATTTCGATTTTACTTTCATGGAGATTAAAGAAGAGGCTTCCAGAAATCCTTATGCAGTAGGAGTTAGTTGCTGACTGATGAGGATATTCCTAAGAAAGAAATTTGGGGCAAGCTTGAGATGGAAAATTTCGAGAAGGATCGGTGGTTGTGGTAGTAGACACCGGACTTCGTGTCCACTAGCGACGATAATGTGAAGGATTTGGGGGATCTAGGTGTCCTTTGTGACAATTTTCATTGCTCAAGCGAAGAAGGATAAAATCTATTGCAAAAAAAAAAAAAGAAAAAAAGGAATACATAAAGAGAAAGGAAGCTTGAATGGAGCAAAAATGCTAGAAAAGAAGGAAAACAACAACGGAGAAAACGAGGAAGGTGAACAGATGGAGGGGTAATCCTTTTAATGAAGATAATGTTAACACGTGGATTAAGTTTTTTGTTATTATTTTTCGGTGACAGTGAGAAATTTTATGATTATTATAACTTTTTTTTAAAAGTTAAAAGTAAAATGTAC